CTCAAACTGTATTAGAGATAGCACTAGATGCAAAGGCAGATGAAAAAAACAAATGAAAGTCTAATAAAATTTCTAAAATATAAGGAAAATACTAGCAACATGAAACAAGAATGAAAACTTACTTAAAAGGACCAAATGGAAAACTTAGATATGAAAAGAATAATAAAGAACACAGTCAATGGGATAAAATGAATATGAATTAAGATAAACGACAAATTAGGGAGTTGGAAGGTCATATATAGGAACTTTTCCTGTAGGAATAAAGAAATTACAAAATAGGAAGCATAAGAGAAAAATTATTGGAAGAGTAGAAGTTCCTTTCCCCCTAAGATAAGGAATAAGGCAAGGATGCCTGCTTTCACCACTTTTGTTCAGCATATGTTAGAAGTTCTAGCCAGAGCAATTAGAAGAAGAAATAATAGGCATCCAAATTCTAAAGGAAGTAAGATTATATGTGTTTGAGATGACATCATCTTATAAATAGAAAATTCTAAAGATTACACACACACACACACACACACACACACACACACACAAACTATTAGAGCTAATAAATGAATCTAGGAACATTGCAGGATACAATATCAAACAACAAAAATCAGTTGTACTTCTAGACACTAGCAATAAACAGTTCAAAACTGAAATTAAGAAAATCCATTTACAATAGTATCAAGGAGAATAAAAAGGAATACTGGTTTTTTTGGAATAAATTTAAAGGCAGCAAAACACTTGTATAGCTGTAACTTGTTTTATGGTGCTTCACTTTATTGCGCTTCATAGATATTGTTCTTTTTTTAAGAAATGTAAAACCATGCACCGGCAAAAAGAGTACGACTCACTGAAGGCTCATATGATGGCTAGCATTTTTTAGCAATAAAGTGTTTTTTAATTAAGGTACATACATTGTTTTTTTAGACATGCTATTGCACACTTAATAGACTACATTATAGTGTAAATATAACTTTTATATGCACTGGAGAACCAAAAAATTCATGTAATTCGCTTTATTGTGATATTTGCTTTATTGTGGAGGTCTGGAACCATATCTGAGGTATGCCTATATACCAAAAACTACAAAACATTGCTGAGAGAAATGACAGTATATCTAATAAGTAAATGGGAAGTTATCCCATATTCATGGATTGGAAGACTTAATATTGTTAAGAAGACAGTACCACCCAAAGTCATCTATAGATTCAATGTAATTCCTATCACATTCCAAGGACATTTTTTATAGACATAGGAAAGTCCATCATAAAATTCATATGGAATTTCATGGGACTCCAAATAGTCAAAACAGCCTTGAAAAAGAAGAAAAAAGTTGGGCTCACTTCATTTCAAAATTTACTACAAAGCTATAGTAATCAAAATAGTGTGGTTTTGGCATACAGATAGACATATAGACAATGGAACAGCAGAGAGTCTAGAAATAAACTCTCAGATATATGGTCAAATGATTTTCCACAAAGGTGCTAACACCATTCAGTGGGGGAAAGTAGGAGAGAGGTTATCAGGGGTTAAGGAGAGGGGTGTGAGGAGTGATTGTTTAATGGGTACAGAGTTTCTGATTAGGATGATGATTGAAAAAGTGATGGATAGTGGTAATGGTTGCACAACATTGTGAATATATTTAATGAGACTGAATTGTATATTTTAAAATGGTAATTTTATGTTAAAAAAAAAGGAGAAATGGGGCTGAAGCTTATGTGGGGTCAATGTACTAGAAGTTCCCACGTGGTTGGAGAACCTAAGCATTAAAAGTAATTTTGTGAACAAGTTAGAAGAGGAAGTTTTGATAGGAAGTTGGGATATCTGATTATTGATCCAAGAGGTGACATTTCAGATACAATCTGGGTGTGATGTTTAGCCCTTAGGGTATTTGAGTTTGGGAGACAGCAAAATTCAAATTCTAACCTTGTCATTTTTTTAGCTGTGTAATTTTGTCACATTACTAAAGCTTTCTGAACTTTTGTCTATATCATGCATTTGTTAAATGGACAAATAAGCCACAATCATCAAGGTTATTAAGTGACTCTATGTTTTTTTAAAAAAGAAACTAGAAGTGCCAGTACTTAGGTAGGAAACTTTAAATGACAAAAATAGAAGAGAAAATACTTGAGGAAATACTAGAGATTGATTACCCAGAATTAAAGAGAGATTAAAAAGGCCCAGTAGAATACCAAATAGAGTTAAGAAACAACCCACACCTACACACATTATAGTGAAATTCAAGACTATCAGAGATAGAGAAAAGTCTAAAGCTTACCAAGAGAATAAATAATATTATTAAGGAACAAGATTCAAATTGACATCACACTTTTCAACAGCAATATGGAACTGTAAGATGATAGAGTAATATATTTTGAGTATTGAGATTATTGAAAGAAAATAACTTTGAATCTTGAATTTTATATCCAATAAATTGTCATTCAAGTAGAAGAGCATGATTAAAATATTCTCAAACATAGAAGACCGTTGAAGATCAGCTATACAAAGTCCCACATAGGGAACATTTCTTTTTTTTTAGGCACCTTTTTTTTTTTAATTTTAATTTTATTTTATTGGGGAACAGTGTGTTTTTCCAGGACCTATCAGCTCCAAGTCAGGTAGTTGTTTCAGTCTATTGGGTCGTCGGGAAAGTCATGACGCATTTTTGCATTGTAAAACAGAAAAATACGTCATGACTTTCCCGACGACCCAATAGTTGTGGAAGGTGCAGCTCAGTGGCCCATGTGGGACTTGAACCAGCAGCCTTGGTATTATGACCACTGCGCTCTAATCAACGTAGCTAACCAGCTGCCCCTGGGGAACATTTCTTGAGGAAGAACTCAAATTTTGAGTAGAGAAACAAATCTAGCAGATGCTATTAGATATGTGTAATGTGCACATGTAAGACGTGTAAAGAATGATCAAAGACCAAGGATTGTTGTCTTTAAAAGAATTTGCCATGACCAAAGAAAAGAAATAAAGGAAGTTTATCCATAAGACAGGATGGGATAGAAGGGAGATTGGGGACATGAAGGCACGGTGAAGTTCTCGTCTTGATAAAGAGATAACATTTTCATTTATAAAAAAGAAAGGACATAAAAAGAAATGCAGAAACAGCAAAGGACAAGTTGAAATAATAAAAAGTCAGTTAAAACGCAGAGGTTAATGATCAATAAAAAAAAATCCAACTGTGTTTACTTATTTACAGGAAATATCCTAAATCATAATTTAAAATTATGTAGGAGGAGGGACATGGATTGGATGTATATGTAAATATTTGAAAATTAAGGATCCTAACAAAGCTTTTGCTTAAGTTTTTATTGATAGTTACCATATTAGAAATTAAAACTGAAAATTTAAAAATATTTATTGGTTGATTTAAAAATAACGATAATATACCCTCTTGTATATTAACCTAAATAACATTTTAATGAGAAATAACTATTGTACTAAACAGCAAAAGAATTAGTGAGAAGAGTAGCACTGTTTTATATACCTGGGTGAATCTCTTAAAATGTCTGATTTAATAAAACATACTTAGAGTCTGTTATCCGCTTCTGCATTCACTCTGTTGCCATATGTTGGTTATTTTTTTTTTAAAGATTTTTATTGGGGAATTGGGGGAAGAGGAACAGACAAGTTGCTGTTGTTTTGTTCTTCAGTCTAGTTGTGGAGGACGTTGCTTCACTGGCCCAAG